ACACTCTGCTATGTGTTTGGGTACACATGCTTTTGAATTTTTGAAAATCAAAAATATTTCAAATTAAATGTTCCCTGGCTCTAAATTACTATAATTGAGCAAGATGCCTTTATTAATATATTGCCATTACTATATAATCCCCAATTTGAAGAAAACCCTAAATTACAAACTGGGAAGTAGCGGTGGCCAACAACTCGTCCGCTTGATAGATTGCCAGCGAGCCATCCCTGGTAGACTGGTAGTGGCCAGCAGCTAGGTTGCACGGAAACGGATACGGGTACAAAAACGGGTACAGGTACGGAGACGGGATACGGCAAAATCAAAATTCCAAAAAACGGGTACGGCAAAAAAAAAAAAATCATTAAAATATAAATCCATAAATTGTTTTTTTTAAAAAATTATTCCATATACTACAAATTAAAAGAAATAGGGGTAAAAAAAACAAAAAACCACCTACTGACTACAGACTACAGCTACAGTAAATCAAAACAAAAAGTAAAAAAAAAATAAAAATAAAAAAAACTTACTAATACAGTAATACGAAGTAGAGTACTTTGTACTCGTATCTGATAATCATATAAAAAAAAGAAAGAAAAAAAAAAAAAAAAACCTTAAAAAAATCTAAACCTCAATCAGATTAAATTGAAGCAAAGAGGAAGAGAGAGGCTGAGAGTGAGAACTGGTGGTAGAGAAGAACTCTAGAAGGTTTGCTGCTGGTCTCCGGTCGTCGGTTTCCGGATATTGGTGTCCGTCGTAGGTGGTCGCCTGTAGTCGCCTCCAAGGAATCGTGGATCGCACTCTGTAGTCTTAGTTTTTAAAAGCACGAGGCGCAAAGGGTCCCTGGAGCCTAGGCGCAAGGCGCGCGCCTTTTGCATACGAGGCGCACATTTTTTTAAAATTAATTTTAATTTATTGTTTTTGCTATTTTGGCATTAAGAATTTAATTATTAAAAAAATCTGTATAATTAATTATTAACTTTTATTTTTATTTTATTGATGTTTTGGTATAAAATTTTTGTAAAAAAAAAAAAACAAATTTAATGTATAATAATTAATAAAAACAAGTGCTGTATAACTTTTTAAAATGAAAATAATCAGAAAACAGGGGAGGGGGTCACATAGTAAAAAAGTAAAAAGTCAGAAGTGGCAGACTTTAGCTCTACTTTATTAATAAAAATTGAAAAGAAAAAGGAAATGAAGAAGATCTAGAAAGAGAGGAGATCGAAGAGAGAGAATGAAAGAAGAAAATGAAGAGCAGATCGAAGAAAATACCTGGAATGCTTAACCGGTGCAGGCTGCCTACAGATTTGGTGCCGGAAACGCCGAGAATTTCTCTCCGGCAGTTTCTGTTACAGCAGCAGCCGTCAATTTCCTCAATTGGTTAGCATCCATTAATTAGGGCTTTCAAAAATTTAGGGTTTTCCAATTAGGGGTTAAATTGAAGCAATTTTATACAATAAATAAAGGGCTTATGCTCAATTGTCACTACAAAGAATGGGTAAGATATTTTGAAAAAAAAAAAAATGGTCATTATTAGATATTTTAAATCTTTATTTCCTTGTTGCGCGCATTTAAACATGAGGCGGCAAAGGCGGTGCGCCTTGCGCCTTGGTTGAGGCGGTAGGAAGCGCGCGCTTTCTTGCGTCTGTTGGACCCCTTTACGCCTTCTTTCACTGAGGCGATTTTCCCTGCGCCTTGTGTCGCCTTGTGCCTCAACAGCGCCTAGGCGCACTTTTTAAAACTAAGTCTGTAGTTGGCTTCTTCAATTTTTAGGGTTCTTGAGAAATTGAAATCAGATAAGTAAATTTGGGGTTTTTTTTAATTTTTAAATGGGCTGGGGACGTCAGAAAAGAAGCAAACCCGTCCCCGAAATGTACCCAAAGCTGGCCAGCCGTCCCCAAAATATCTCCGCGTACCACTTTTCAAGGGTATGCCATGGGGACGTATCCGGGCCGTACCCGTACCGTACCTGTCCGCGGTACGGGAGACTGCTGAAGATTGGCGTATCCATGCAACCTTGAGTGTGACTATTCCCTACTTTCCAAATTGAGATGAATGGAACCTGTGGATCATCTTCTTAACCCACTTTAAGGCACAACATGCCTGTTGAAGAGCTATGGAAGTAATAGAGTTCAAGTGGTTCTCTAGGACCAAATTAAATTCCCTTTCATGAAATAGAATTTACCTTGATGTTTTGTTGGGAGCATTGTGTGACTACTCCCTACTTTCCAATGTGAGATGAATGGAACCTGTGAATCATCTTCTTAACCCACTTTAAGGCACAACATGCCTGTTGAAGAGCTATGGAAGTAATAGAATTCAAGTGGTTCTCTAGGACCAAATTAAATTCCCTTTCATGAAATAGAATTTTACCTTGATGTTTTGTTGGGAGCAATGCAAATGGTATGAATGCCAAAAGTTGGGAGAGAGTAACAACTAGGAACTGTTGTTTTTGCTGATATTAGTGTATGTGAACATTAATATGAATATGACTGAATGGCCCATACAGTGTTAGATAAGAACTAACCTATAACTTTGTAAATAGATTATAGATGCATAGAAAATGACGTTTGAACTCACGATAGTGGCAGCATTACAAGCTCAATAATCTATCTTGGCCATTTGGCAAGTGTAAGTGGCAAGTTGAGGGATTGGAGCAATTAGCTAGATTGCATGGTGGCCTTTATGGTTGACAGGTTGAGTTTTGCTTAGTTCTTTGCATGGGCTTCTTCCACGTTGACAAGACTATAAATGCTCCACTTTAGCTCATTTCCGGTATTGGGGTCAGATTGGTCTAGGCAACTACTTTAATCTGTTCACGTTTGCTCTTAAGACTAATTTATTTCCGGATTCTTCTACAATTTTTTTTTTCTCCCTCCGGTTTTTGGGGTGGGTTTTGGGTAGGTGATCTTAGAATTTACCAGTGGTGGGAGATTTGAGGTTTTCCGGTGGTTTTGGGAGGTGAGGAAGCGGGCGAGGAAGGAAGTTTGGGGTTGTCAACGGCCAAAGCTGATGCCGATAGAGGAAGTGGCGGTGGGGGAGATTGAATATGCCAGAAGTGGCGGTGGGAATGACTTAATGAGTAGAGAAGAGAGGAAGAAAAGGTTGAAGAAGAGAGAGGAGAGAGAAATTAATAACTAGCATTGAAATCAGCCTAGTTATTCAGTAAAAAATTGGAAAAGGTATCAGTATATAACATGGGATTTTTGGGACAAAATGGGAAATAAAAACCTAAGCAAGGGTAATTGTGTCCAGAATTGATGTTTTAAAATAGAAAAGAACAAAGGGGAACACCCTAAACGGAATATGTAAAGAACAATAGGGAATGGAGGGAGTATCTTTCTAGTTTAAATCATCCTTAGTTAAATTTACCCCTAATTGTTCTTGTATATAAAGGAATATTTTTTATTAGTTACTTTGGTCATATCATATTTGGACTTGTGCAGCAGTAGCTTTTCAGGTGTTGTTAATAAATGAGGCTAAATACTGTCAATCACTGAAAATACTAATGGTAATGGATTGAACTGCTTATCAGTGTTAATGTGGAGATGGAATAACAAGTAGGGTTCATATTTTATAATTTTGCAATTAGGGGTGTTTATATCAGAAAGTCTGCCTAAGAGTGCTGTTTTTTTTTTTTTTTGGTGGAGTTTCCTTTATTTTGGTAAATAAAATTAAATTAAATTATGCATGTTTTATTACTCATTATGAACATCCTCCATTTGCAGGTTTTGTTTTGTAGTACAGAGATTGGGCGTACATCATTTGTGCGGCAACTAGAGCCTGATTGGCATATTGACTCAAATTCTGAAATTACTACACAATTAGCGGTAATCACTTATTTTACATTTTGATTTTCATATACTTCACTTTTTTTGTGATTAATGATGTCAATTTACTGGTTCCAGAGGTTCATCAAATATCAGCTTCATATTTCTCCCAGCAGACCAGAACGACTGGCATCAAATGTGTTTAATTCAACATCCCTGGAACATTTCTTTGGATGTGTGTGATATTTAGAAGACAGTAGATCTGCAAATGCTTTGTGCTGCTTTTCGTTGCTGCCTTCTTTGCTCGTCATATTTGTTGTAGGCTATATTACTTCTCCATTAATTGTGGAGGGCGAGATTTTCTTGTAATATGTGTAGTTTTGGACTTCATTAGTACTCTGACAATGGATATAAAGATCTGTTATTGGCCATAAGCCATAGGTCTGTAATATTGAAAATGTTGAATTGCTGTACTTGAAGTCTGGCATCCCACAGTTTGTCCATTGTTAAAAGATCGGATTCCAACTGCATGAATGTATGTCTATATCTGCAGTGTACGACTTCTATTTAATTACTGAGTTGATGGAATTCTATTTTGTGTTTTACCATGGTTGTAATAATCAATGGAATGATGAGATTACTTTAAAAATAACATTAATCAGATAAAGCATATTCCCTTTGTTTTGATTTGATAGTCCCATTTATGTATATCGATGTAAATCTTTAATTGTAAATATTGAGTCCCATGATAATCACTTAATGAGGCCAAGGGTTAATTGTAAATATTGAGTCCCATGATAATCACTTAATGAGGCCAAGGGCTGCAACTCAGATGAAACGGTATATAGCAACTTAGGGGGAAACAATTAAGTTACTTTTATCTATATTATTTCCTTATAAATTCATAATTATACAAGTACTAATTTAGGCACCAAACCAAATATTCTCAAACACCCCTTAGGGCCAGTTTAATCATCTTTGCGTGCAAGTAAAGCATAAATTCATGCCTAATATTATCTACATTGAGAGTACATCTCTGATTTGGTGATTGTTTTATGCCGGAAACAATATCTAGCTCTAACTTGATCACTTCTTGGTTTTTACCAACTGCATTTTATACTGATCATCATTTTCTGGGCAGTATTTCTAACTTATTGCTTTACTTGCATCTGTCATGTTGGTTTTGTTCATGTGTTTGTACCACAATAATTGTCCAATACTCCTAACAAATGGACACCTGAAATACCAGACGATGTTATTGCAAAACCAAATATAGCCTATGATTCTCTGACGATAGATTACAATTTACACTTACAACTCTACGGTTGATTCCGCAAAACACAAGCAATGTACATAAAATCTACAAAGCACATTCCCCAAACACCCACCACCCCCCTGCAAAAATAAATAAAGGAACCCTCGCCAGTTCCCTTTATAACTTATAGGACTTTGGTTATACATACAATGGTAATAAGACTACACAGGAAGCTATGGCAGACATACTGAGAATAAGAAGCCATATGAAGGTGCCATATCCTTGCAGACAATTATATATCTATGCCTGGCATGTATCAGTTGCCAGAATTTACGAGCAGGAGAATCTGGACAGACTATTCAAAATGACAGGAGCATATTGTCAGCCAAAGAGTTACACTGAGTGCTAACCATCTGAAGCTAAGGCAAACAGCCAACCTTCATGTTGATGGCAATTTCATAATCATCTGATATGTTCCAGATGTACAATCAAATAACGGGCCAAAACCCTAAAGCTTCTGTTGACCACATTGTACACCAAATATTTCGTTGCTTACACGCTCCTGTAATACAACTGCATATGTCAATACAGCCACATAATGTCATCACAGAATAGAAACAAGAAGATATGTTAGACCATATCTAACAATAACATAATCCAAAACTTCATTCCTTACAAAGATGAGAATTTAGTCTTCAGTAGCTCCTGGTATTTAGAGGATCATAATCATAAGCATCACCAGCTTTGACAAATCGGCCCTTTACACGCTTCCTCACATCAGCTCTGGCTTTGCGGGATGCATATCTCACTCTTTTCTCAAATCTAATTGGTCAATAAAGAAACAAGATTATTAGATCTTTACTTTTTTTCCTTTTCTTATTATAAAAGCAGTGATAGCACAACGTAACATAGAAATCATTGGACAGAATTTTAATACTCCTTTATACTAAAATTGATAGTCACATCATATTTAAGATGCCAGAAACAAGTTGTCAACTTATCTATACTATATATGCCCTTACTAAGAGTATGTGTAGTAAAATCATCTTATTACATTAATAATTATTAGAGTTTAAAAAATGTGAAGACTAATTGCAGATGAAGGGAGTGTATATATACAAGTGTTACTTCATGGAAGCAACTTCCAGCTGATGGATATCACATTATACCAATAAATAAATATTCAATGACTAAGATTCGAAGTTTGTATAGCAAGAGCTAAAGTAGTTTAATAATGAATCAAATTGAATCAAGTGCAACTCTTCTTCACAAATCAAAACAAAAAAATTGTTGACTTTTCCTCTCCTTGTCCCAACCAAAAGCTGACATGTGTGAGTCCCAGGATCAAAAGGCTCACATGCAACCAAACTCAACCAGCAACTCAGCTCTTATGAGGCTCGCAGGTTGCAGGAATTAATACTCTGCTCATTTAACAGCCTCCATGCAACCAACCCTGTAGCTCAGCTTTGACAAGGAATAAGGATTAAACAAACCCTTCAAACTCAAGGTTAGTCAACCTTTAACTACTCCCTTTCTCCATTCCCCTTTCCACTCAATCCAACACTAAAAAATCATTAAAAGTGGGCAGGCGTTCTCTGTAACTCTTTTTCATAAACTTCCCCATTGTGGCATACTCCCCACAAAATTCATTTCACACCTCTTTCACTAATAAATCACCTTGCTTACAACTTGTGTCTACAAAACAAAGTGGAAAAACATCTGAATAATTCAACTAGATTAGGACTTTAGAAACTCCATGAGTCCAATTCTTTCCATAACCGCTCTGACCCCCACTAGTCCACTATGATACCTGTTTTCGTGAGGATTTAATTCCCCACTTACTAGTCTCCACTCACTACTAGTGACTATCTCTACTTACTAGCAACCATTTACAACTTATGATCGCCCCAAATATAGAATCCCATCACTTTGCAAGAGCCATCCACAACTTAAAGCCACCAAGCAGTGTAAGAAACAGCTCAAAATCTGTGCAATTAGAAGGTAGCTAACAGTAGAAAGATATTTTACAGTTTACTATTATGTGAAGCTCATATACATAGAACATTGTACTATTCTCTTCAAGAAGATGATTGATTTGTATCATGTTTGGATAGGATAATCATTTTGCAACAAAAATTGAATATAAAAACTCCTTTATGGGCTTTACATATGTATCACTCATTCCATTGGCAGTAGCCAACAATCAAAGGGCTGAAGCTCAACAATAGTGACAAAACCCAATGCCCCTTGAAGCAACCAATTATATAAACCCCCCCCCCCCCCGCCACGCACCCCACTCACCTGATGTACTACGAATACCACATCAAGGCATCCACTACTCTCCACCATAAACTCTTCCCTCTCCCTTCTTCCACCTACTCAAACATTTTTCAATCCCACCACCACTTTAGCTTGTGTGGGTCATTTTTATATCCAGGAGGACTTTTCTTATAGATTTAGCTACATATGGTAATCAAGTAAGTCCTAACATCATACTCTACAAAGTGCTTTATCTGGTTCATGAATTGTAGAATTTTTAGAAAACAAGAAAATTTAATTCTGATCAAGATAAATTAATGCTCCTATGTATTTCTTTTGGCAATTTTTTTGGCGGGTAGAATATCAAATAATTTTCAGAACAAGGGAAACCCATAATCATGAACAAATCAAATTTCCTTGGGTAAAAAATATACTATTAGCTTCAATCCTTTCCAAAATGAAGCAATTTTATATCAAGATAAGAGAAAAAATTTCAACTTTCAATGAAAATATATTGTAGCTGAATAAGAAAACTACTTTAAAAAACTATTACAAGCAGATAGCTAGAAGCCAAGTCACTTCACCTTATAATAGTGAAATTTCTATTTTTTAGCTTTTATTATAATACCTCAATTTATTTAAGTTATTTATAGTTACAATTAGCACCGATTTCAAGGAGAGTTGAAAAGAGGGAGCAAGTGGGCCATGTGTGAAACAAAGTATGAGATATAATGTTGAAAGTACATTTTATGGAAGAAATAAAGCTTGACAAAAGGACACGCTTATTGTGTTGGTAGAGAATTAATGAAAACAAGAACAAGAATGAAAAGGGTCATATTCAAGAGTTTTGAAAATTGGATGATACTAACAATTTTTATGTCTTATTATTGTAGGATATTCTAGGGAAGTTCTAGGAAAGTCAAAATAGGCATTTGGGAATATGTTACTAAGATTGTCGTACGCCCCAAGATTCAAATAGACTGTGTTACGATACCCAAATCTTTAATTCGCTGGAGCACCAGTTGGAAATCATTGTGGGTTATAAATAACATCTACCACCTATTTTATTTTCAAGGCATCCTACGCCACATCAGAAAAATTGATTGATGGCTATTAAATGTTTCTCTGTACTTGTTTTCATTCAATCTCCTCTATTTTGACTTCTTCCCCTCTACTTATTATACTTCCTCAGCCCTCCTCCAACATCTAGCCTGAACCCCTATTGTTTCTCATCTTTTCACTCTCTCTCTGTCCTGTCCACTCTCTTCTGTAGATGGCTTACCTCAAAGATGAGAGAGATGAGAATTTAAACCATTTCTTATCAAGACCTTTATAATGCAGGTGCTCCTATTCAACAATTTGCTCATTTGCTGACACGCAAATAAAACTAATAGCATGCAGCTGAATGTCATGGATCTTAAGGCAATGAAACTTTGACTCCATGGGAAATGAACAATTCTCTCAGCTATAGGAAAAACTGCCTATATATGAACGAACTAATCTGAAGTACTATTGTAGATAATCTCCTTCCTTCCAATAAAAGTTTCTTTAATAATAGATTTGATAGAAATTTCCAAGTTCTGTACGAAAGAAACCAATTTCCTTTCACTTTAACAAAATAACCTTCAATAACCCTTTTCCCAAAGCCCTGATCCTCATTAGCTCTACAAAATTAACCAGATTCAGCAAGATTCCAGACTTCACTTCTCTACCAAAAAAAAAAAAAAAAAAAAAAAAAAAAAAAAAAAAAAAAAAAAAAAAAAAAACCTAACCTAAAGATATGTTACCAGCAACCAATATAAAGCAATACAAGCTTGCTTCTCTCTTGCTTCAATAACAAGATTTGGTCATGAAGGATGTTTTAGTGAATTCCAATGATAAGATTGCAATCAGGATCATGGTCACAGTTGTAGAATTTTAATCATCAAAAAAAAAAAAAAAACAGTTGTAGAAGCGACATCATGCTATTGCATTGCAATATGAATTGACCAATAAAAAATTTACCACTTTATCATTATATAATTGAAAATACACCTTACAAAACCTTTTAACCATATTTTGGAAAGAATGGAGATAATCAATACAACATATATACTAATATACCTGTGTGAAGTTATTTTAAACTTCCTCCATTCCAGAATAAATGCAACATATCTATTTTTAGAGGTCAAACTTCATATACTTAGATCAAGAATTTACACCAATGTATGAGAAAATGTACAATCATGTGAGCTCTTATTAAATTCGTCTCATGCGAAGTTTTAAAATGTCAAGTTGTCAATATATCATAGATTTTACTGATACAATTAGATATAATTGGTCAAAGTACCAGAACATGAGAAAACGATTGTTGCAATTCTATTGTAATGAAGTATTCAGTTCAATAGTATAATTACACAAACATCCTTAATAACGGATGCTAATGGCGGATGAAGTTACAGAGCAGTGTGTAACAGATGAAGCAGTGGCGGAAGCATTTGAATATCCAAAAAGAATGGTCTAGACATATGGAAATTGCCTTTATTTTAACTCGATGTTGACACCTTATTAGTTATGTACATTATATGGCTCACTAGACTATTGTAATATTGTTCACTTGTAGTAGTGGACTGATGGAGAATACATTCTGGAGGAAACCATGACAAAAGTAGAAAGTTCATGAACCATAGATATGCTGACTAGACTATCATTCTCCTGTAGTGGACAGATGGAGATTTTGATGATATGCACCAGAAAAGAAATTATCAAAATACTCATCAATTGCTAAATCTGACCCCACACTAAGCTCTTTCCTCTTTTCATGAAAGTTTTATTAACCGTTCTTTTTGTCTTTTACTATTAATAATCGAGTAACTTTAGGGACATGACATTGCCAGATTAATCTCACGTCTAAACCTTCTAAATATGGAAGAGAAAGACAATGGAAAAAGCTTAAGGAAAAACAGGGACAACTGTAATAGTTAATATATATATCAAAAGGTCCCAGGTAACTGCTTTTAGTGAATTCAACAACAGCAATAAACTGCAGGCTCAGTGACAAGGAAACCTTCAGTTGAGGTTTGTGTCAACTATCAAGTGTCTTTCAAAATGGAGAACTTAAGGCAAGGGGGAACAAAAAACTTGTGGGATTAAGCTTGTTTGTCGATCATGAGTTTGTTATGTAAGAAGAATTGATATGATCCTTTGGGACTAAGTATCTTAGTTTATTCTTTGGGTAGAGATTCCAACTAATATACTCCCTCTATTCTTTTTATGTTCTACTCAGTTACCATGGATATGCAAATTAAGAAAATATTGAAGAACGTGAGTGGGTGTAATTGTAAGATAAAATAGGATAAAGTAAGAGAGAATGAAAAAAGGTAAGAAAAAGGTGAATAAAGTAAGAGAGAGAGTGTGAAAATATGTAATTATTGTAGGATTAAAGAGGTAAGATGGTAAAAGGAGTATACCAAAAATTGAATAATGCAAAGTGAGTTGAACAAAGAAGAACAGACCAAAATGGAAAGTGAGCAGAACAAGGGAGTATATTTTATCATATTTTCCAGGGTTCATTCTACACTGTCTCTTTCTAATTAGAGCTCTTCTATTTACTTTTTCTTTGAAGTAAGACACCTGATCCATTTCCAAACCCTTTTGATTTAAGAATAAAGACCTTTTTTCTTTATCTAACATACAACATATGGCAACAGATAAACAGGGCATATTAACCAGAACTTCAATGAGCAGACAGTCCAAAGGAATTAATATCATCTGCACAACAACATTAAGAACACAATGGAATTTTAGAAATAGAATATCCATCAAAAAACAAAACTAGCTTTCACCAGATACTTACTTTCGGGCCTTCTTTTTCTCCTTGTATCGCATAACAGCTTCGGTTCGACTGGTGGACTGGATTGAACTATCCGGACAAGGAGGGCACCAGGGTGGCTCTCCAAGTAAAAGCATTGAAGAAGCCCCACAGTCTTGATAATCCCCACCACTGCTTTCTCCAGTAACGCCAGAAAAAGATAGATTGGAATGGGCTTGCTTTGCAGCAATACCAGGGTTTGGTTCAGTTTTGACACTCATCATTGAATCAGCAGAAGCTACATTGCTGCATGCGGGCTGCACTTGGCCGGTGTTTCCAGCAGATGCTCCCTGAGTTGTATCAAAATATCATAACCATCATCATTATTAAGAGCAGATACCTAGTCAAGAACATGCATTGCACAAAGTAATTTACAAAAAAAGGAATAATAAGTGACAATTCTGACAAAATTAAATTTATCAAATTAATTATTCACCAATTTTACATAGTACATGATTTGATTCAATATGTGGTATGGGAACAGGGACATGGGACACCAGTTGCGGAGATGATAGGCCATAAATCACAATCATCACCATTATAATCAATTATTAATCAATTGATCAAGGATACCTCAATTCAGTTGTAGTTTGGTTTTAATTCAGCTGTAAGGAGTAACTAGGAGATAGGAGATAGGAGCTACTGAGCTAGGAAGACCAAACAAAGGAGCAGGAGATGGGAACATGGAGAGTGAGAATGAAGGAAATAAGTCCATTAAAAAATGGTTTTATTCCCAGACTTGCATTCTATACAAACTGATTCAACTGCCAATTTGATGACTTTTTTTTTTTTTTTTTTTGACGTGGGTGTATTCTTCTTATGATGTAATCACATGAGAAACCACTTTTCATACATTGGAAGGTGACTGTTAAGTTATGGAATAGTTTATAGCAGGTCAAAGGATTCAGTGCACTTCATCAACATTTATTTTGAACCATTTGCATGCTAAGAATGCCTTTTGTGAAAGTTATAAGCCTATAAGGGAAGAGACTTCCTATGAAGGTTAAAAAGTATAGCAATTTGTTCAGATTTTGTAGCTTGAGCAGCATAATAGGATGTGCTAATAGAAGTACAGGGTGTGAGTAGTTTGTGGAATAAAGTGATTATCTTGCTTCCATTGCATGCCCCCTCTGTGAGGTTTCCATTTTTTGTAATGATGTTCTATGAGGTTAGCACGAATTTTATTAAATTGATTTTTTTAAAAAAACTGATGTGATTTTGGCTAAAAAGGATTGGTAACATAATGGAGGCACAAAGCATTTGTCTAGATTGATAAGTAGTTTATATGTAAAGTAGATGTATATATAGGTCTGATATTTGAAATTGAATTAGCAAGGCAGCAAGCCAATCGAGCAGAAGTTTATTATTTTCATAGATCATACTTGTTTCGGGGTTTTCTGATGTCCTGCGGGAGAGTTACAATTCCGAGACTGGAACCGGACGCCTGTACCTGCAAAACAAACGGATGCTCCGGATGATTGGAGATCCGCCTCCGACGGTCAAGTTAGTACTTGATTAAGGAGTAATTAATGCGGAAATTAAAGTGATTGGGTCTCTCTAGGTGAGAGTGTTTAATGTGTGTAATCTGCGTTTTTTTTGCGTCCCCCCCTTAATGAGGATTAAGGGAGGTATTTATAACCTCGGGAAACGTGCCAATCTAGGTTTAGGTTAACCTTGGGCTGATTGGGCTTCCCTCGGAAGTTGGGCCTAGGTGACCGGTTATCCCAGGTGTCATGGGAAGGACACGTGTCGTGTCGTAATTGGTCCATAGTGGACGGATCATTGCTTGACACGTGGCAGGCTCCTATTGGCCCATGTGACGGACACATGGCGGAACCTGATTGGTCCACTTGTCAGATGGTGATTGGTGGGGAAAAATCCCCTAATCATTTGCCCCTCACAGGTGGCACGTGACTGGTCACGTGTTACCTGTGACAGGTATCGCCCTGTAACAGGCGACGACCTGCTACAGGTGTTACTCGGCGAGAGGCCGAGAGATTCTCCCGCCAAAATTTTGAATTCTGGAAGTGACCCTTCGCCTTCTCACTTCGCCTATATAAAGGAGTGTTGACTTCGGTCATTTTCACACTTGAAAACTTTGTGAGAGAACATTCGGACCCCTGAACTTGCTCTGACATTTTGGACCCTTTCTGCCTACCGTCTGCTCTGACAAGCCGACTGCAAAGGATTTTCAGAACTTCATCAATCGTCACTCGTTCAGGTAACCGTCGGTTCTCTTACTCTTAATTTTCTCTTTACTTTATTCTTTTTTGAAATGGCACCACGGAAGCACACGACACGACCTAGGTTAGTGATCAGCCGGTCACCGGGGACGGCTGAATCTAGGACTAGGAGTGCCGCCTGCCCTTTTCTGGACCCATCTTTGCCCTTTATACAAAGTCCGACTGTATCTGTGTCTATGCAGAGCATGATGGCCAGAACAAAAAAGACTGCCATGATCTCAAACTCAGACGGCTCCTCCCACAGGGTGCCGATTAGTGAAACATCTGACCAGGCGCCAGATGTGGAAGTGAAACAAAGCGGCTTGAACGCCAACAGTTCTGAGGGAGGAGTCAAAGTGACCCCTTCCCATTTTACAGTTGACAATTCTACATTCTCTCCTGCTCCTTTTAAAGGAGAGGAGGCGGGCCCCTCCGGGAGAGGGGAGGAGTCGTCCTCTTCGGACTCGTCAGAGGACGATTCCAAGTCTAGCTCTTCTGGCCATGCTTCTCTGGACACAGAAGAGAAAAACAGTCGCCTACAAGAGGCGAGGCTTTCTCACGCAGTTGAGAAGGGGGACGATTGGGCGGAGCCATCCGCCTCTCACCGAGAGCAAAATACCCCCTACTACTGCACGGTACCTCGGGGCCGGATCACAGCCATGCAAGAGAAAGTGGAGAGCTTTATCGCAAACCACACAATGGGCCCCGGCTTTTTAGTGTTCGTGCCGGATCCAGAAGACACAGTCGTCTGGCCGGCTGGTACCAGTTATGATGGCGCCTGCTTTGGCTGCTACGAGGCGGCCATCAAGGCTGGGCTGCACTTCCCACTACATCCGGCTGTTCAGCCGATCTTGGATGGGTATGAGTTGGGGTTATGGCAGTTAGCCCCGAACTCCTGGGTCAACGTACTCGGCTATGTGGCCGGGTGCGAACTGCACGGGGTGGAGCCGAACTTCGAGGCTTTCGCCCACATGAACTACCTCAGCCGGACCCCTAAGGCAGGCGGTACCGGCTGGTATCAATTGACGAGCCACAGGGGCTACCTCATGACGAGAGGTAAAACAAACAAATGGAAGGACTGGCGGAGCACCTTCCTTATCATTGAGAGCTCAGACACAGAGCTGAACAAGCGCTTCAACAGGTGGAACAGGAATCCGCCCCTTCTTGCAGGCGGCCGCAGCATGCCGCCTGTTCCCCCCAAGGCTAAGAAAGAGATCCTAGATAAAGGAGAGCCGAAGGTGAACTCTACTTCAGGGGTACGAGAGCAAGTACCCCTGCACTGCGTCCCGAGCTTCAAATGGCTCTACGACGAGTACTTTTTGGCCGCCTGTGGCCTCAGCAGTCGGTGCTCAAGAGGTAGCCGGCCTGTCGAATACTCTGTTGTTCCGTGCATTTCTTGTTATAACTTTTATTAACTTTGCTAGTTGTTTTTGCAGCGGACGCCATGAGAAAAATTACCGCCTCCAAGACTGCGGCGACCATGTTGTGGGCCTCCATCATGCAACAGTCTTCAACCGACTCCCCCAACAAGGGGGCACCCTTGGTGGGCTTCGAACCTTTCACCCTCTTTTTGGAGTTGTGTTTATGCATATACTGACTCTTTTCTTCTTTTTTAGACGGGCGCTCCAAGAGCTTCTTCTTCCCAACAGCCGGACCCCAAGGCCCGGAGGACGACTGTTGCGAGCTCTCCTGGTTCTGCCAGGAAACATGCAGCGGCTGAGAAACAGTCGGCCACTTCTTCTAAAACTCCAGCTGGGCCACCTAGAAGTATGAAATTGTCCTTGTAAATTTTAGACTTGCTCCCTTCTTTACTAGGTCTAATCCGTTTGTTTATGCTTGATGCAGCCGGCCCTCAGGAGCCTGACTTGGTCGAGGTGGCCAAGTCATGATCAAGGTCGTTCCTCCAGCTGAAAGGGAGGCGGTCAGGGGTGTCGGCACCCTTGACCTAGACGGGATTGCAGGGGTCCTTGCTGAGGTATACTTAGCATATTTTTGAGTATTTGAATTCCAGGACGCCTGTTTTCTTTTTTGTTTGGAAACTGACGCCTGTTCCCCTTTTTACTTAGGCCCTGCTCCGAGTGAACGGCCTTCGCAAGCCGCTTGACCGGAAGAACAAAGAGGTAAAGGCTGCAAAAGCTATGGCCGCCTCTGACTGTGATAAGGCAATGTTTCAAATTGCCCAAAATGAAGTTCTGACCATTGATATTCTTTATTATCAGGCGCAGGCTACCGCCGCTATCCGGGCTCAGTTAGAGGCGGCCCAAAAGAGGAATAGCGAGCTGGAGGCGACCATCAACAACCTCAAGGCCGAGCTGAGACCTCTTCGCCAAAAGATGTCCTCATACGAAACCTTAGAGAAATCCTTGGCGAGCGTAAAGGAACGCCTGGTGACCCAGGAGAAGAGTCTTACTTAGGAGCTCTCGGAAAAGGCCGAGCAAGAAAAGAAAGAGCTGGTCCGGGAGATGATGGAAGACTCTGCTCAAATCCAGCGCATGACTTGGGGCCGCCTCTTCCCCAATGCCGACTTTGCCTCATGGGAAAAAACGTACCGCCAGTGTTCTGATAGATATAATCAAGAGATCCTGGCGGCTGCTGAGGAAGAGGCGTTGGAGGAGGAGGAGCACCCGGTAGTGGCGCTTGTGCCGCTTGGGGGTAATGCATCAAAGAAGGATGCAGCTGAAGCCGAGTCCAGCAAGAAGAGTGCTGACCAGGCGGCAGCTGCTAATATTGAAGATCTGCCCCCTTCTTAAGCTTTATGTCTTCTTTCCACGGCCTGCGTGCCGTTTGTTTGTATTTACCCAGCCAGGGGGCAGGGCTCTGAATATTTTGCCGGTCTTTAATGACCGGCTTCCTTTTAATGAATATTTTTGTTTTGCTTCAAATTTGTTCAAGTATTGAATATTCTGATATCCAATTGTACACTATACCGACTGTTTTACATGGCCGATAGTTGCAGACAGGTACGGATAGTTAGTCACGCCGCCTATGCCCCTGGACGACTGGTTGTCTGTTTCCAGGCTAGACGATCAGTCGGCCATTTATCCAATCGGTATTCGAACCATCTTAAA